GCGCAACTTAGAGCGCAAGTGGGACCCCAAGTTCACTTCGTCCTTCTGGAAGGCCCTGCAGCGGGCTCTGGGTACTAAGTTGAAGATGTCCACGTCGGCCCACCCACAGACCGATGGACAGACAGAGCGGACGATTCGGACCTTCAAGGAAATGCTTACTACGGTGACTATGAAGGACCCAGAAGGATGGGGAAAGCACCTGGGGAAAATAGAGTTCGCGTATAACGACTCGGTGCACTCCAGTATAGGGGTAACCCCGTTCTTCGCCAGCAAAGGGTATAACCCGACCGGAGTGAGCAAGGTTAACGCGACCACGGTGCCCGTCGCTGATACCTACATTGAGAAGCTTAACGATACGTTGACCAAGGCAAGGGACGCCATGCAACACGCCCAGGAGGGACAGGAACGCCAAGCAAACAAGTCGCGCCGCCCAGTGGAACCCCTCACTCCAGGAGTACTCGTGAAGGTGAAACGCACCGACGGACAAACGCGCAACTTAGAGCGCAAGTGGGACGGGCCCTACAAAGTCCTCCATATGGTCGGACCCAATGCGGTTAAGTTACAACTGCCGCCGTACTCTAAGGCACACCCGGTTTTCAACATGTCGCGCATTGAGCGCTACCACGGTGAGCCACCAGAGGAGGAACCCGAAGACCCCACTACAGCAGCCGAAGATAACTTCGAAGTTGAGGAAATCGTTCACCACGAGCACCGGCCGGACTCAACTTACTACTTGTTACGCTGGAGCGGCTACCCTGAGGAAGACGACACGTGGGAACCGGCTGACCACGTCCAGGAATCCACCATACAGGAGTACTGGAACAAGCACAAGGGTGCCTAGATAGTACTTAATTATGAGAGGGGGGAGTGTAACGTACTGTAGGTTGGACCTCGTTAAATGAGGCCACAACAAGACTCGAACCGACGAACAAGCGTTCGAAGGTTCAGAGTTACCACTAGGCCACAGAGCCTTCTTGTTTAGTAGGACATGCGAGTCCCTACTTCAAAGGCCCTGTTCCAACCTCCACCTTAGGGAGGTCAACCTTAGCAATAATTCCGGGATTACCGTCACTCCAGATGCAAAACTGGACAGAATTATTGCTATAAAAAACCTAGAAAAATACAAATAAAATCATCTATTAATTCTCCTATTTGATTATTCCTAATATTAATATGACATAGTATGAATTATGCTGAGGTATTGAATACATATATAGAGCGGTCAGTTAAAGAAGGAAAACCGCCCATAATAAACTCATAATAAAGTATAATGAAGTCTGTCAACAATAGGGTTTGTTTCTATGGTGTAGCACGTGACTTATTAGGTAGGCCAACGATGCAGGTTCCCACCAGCCTCCGTTAAAGCTATCGCTTCGTGTACGCTTGTAGGACGTGGCATGATATGATTCCAAAGATGCCGCTATCTGAATACCGATCACTGCCAAACTTTTTCCTCTTTGTCGCACAATTATCGCTTGTGCGATGTTCGCACGCTCGTTAAGATAGCTGTGCTTTTTCCGCTGTCTTACGAGTTATGTAAAATTATCCCTTCTTGTAGTAAATATGTTATTTGTTCTATTATCCTTTCTTTTCCATTACCTTTTTAATTTTAGTAATTCAACTTGAGTTGTTTATTTTCTTCTCTTTTTCGAAACCGTTCACTTCTTTATAAACACACTCATTCTCATTTTATTTCATTTTCTCCATTCTTGGTGTGTTGCTTTTATTCTTTCCTTCCTTTCTCATTCTTTCTTGGTTTGAAAGTGAAATGTATGAATAAGTAATCAGCTTGAAGAGATAATATATTTTGAAAGTAAACAAAAAAAAAAAAGAAGTCGAAAAACTGTCGCTAGACAAAAGAAAAAAGAGCTCAGTTCATTTCTTAGTTTTTTTTTTATTTTACAGCGGCAGTTTTTCCTTGAACGGATTCGAAATTGTCTAGTACATGAGATACTACGCCTTTCATTGTAAGTGTAGATAAGACA